ATTCTTCTCCTGCTCACAGACGGGATGAAACGAAGACCTCTGTCTCACCCACAAGGCGTGAGGCCGGCGACTGCAATCATGGGTCACATTCAACCAGTGTGGCTTCCTAACAGCTCCTGCCCGCCGATGGTTACCCACGTGCCCCGAGTGTAAGGCAGGCTGTAGCGACACTCATACATGCCCGCTGGCAGGTGAGCAGATGCCCGTTTCTGCGTCACTTCCCCAGGCTGGACGAGCCAGATCCAAACCGGACAAACAGAATTCTTCCCAGTGGTTCAGTCCGTAAAATGTAGGAGATAATTGACCGTCGTACTTTTTATCACCATCAGTGGGGGGGGGACGTGAAAGGTTCGAAGGCATGATATTCAGTATGTCAGAGCCAGCAAAGAAATCTGACAGACGGATAGAAGAAATTTGCCAGCTTACCCACCACCCAGATCCCATATCCCACGCTGAACACGTTACCATTATGGGGGGGGGGGGGTTTAAAAAATAGCCAGCTTTCCTACTCATAATATATTATATGTGACAGTACATCCAGTACATCGTGCAGGAGGAACGGGGGGGCACTCCGAGTCTCCCCATTTATGGGATGCATGCGAGCCTCTCCTCCTAAGCTAGAGAGCCCCCCCCCATCCTTCCCTTTAATTACCCTTTAGAGGAAACCAATAGTGGCCACGTTCGTTCCTCTGCCAGATAAGAAACTCTCCTTTCGTTTAAAATAAAGAGTCTCCATTGGGCAGCAGAAGGCAGCTGATAGAGGAGGCAGTTTAATAAAGGAGTCTGAAGCAGAAAATTGGCTCGCCTCAGTCCGAGTGCAGTGCTTTCTGGAACCAAACGGAAGCTGAGGCCCTTAATAAAAATATTAGCGGGATTGCTTTAACTACTTTTCAGGAGGAGAAGCGGCCTGCACTGTGATTTCCATTGCACATCTGTGAGTATATCATGAAATGTGCGGGGATAAAGTGCTAATCGCCATGCAGTTCCCAATATTTTTTTAATCTCCCCAGATGAAGCCGACACAGCAAAGCAAAGTCAGACTTCTGTTGCTCAGCCGAGCTTGAAATAGGGGGGGGAAGCACTGAAATGCACAGATAAAACAAACAGAAATAAACTGCTGTTTCACATGAATGAAGCAGGTGACGAGCCAAAGAGCCCAAGCTTAGCATATATCACAGATACATCCTGAGATTAACTGCAAAGTAGCAATTTTCTTGCTCAGTTTAAACTGATAAGCAAAACTCTAACGGGGCTTTAAATCCCCACTGATGTCACTAACAGTATTACAGCAGGACGTACAAAAAGTCATCATTTCACATCACGGCGTAACGCGTAATACTTGGAAACCGGAGATCAGGGACGAGAGACGGAAATCAGAAGGACTCGCCAGGGTGGGTCAGGAGGTTTATATTTACACAAAAGGAAACGGTCAGGTTTGTGACAGAAACGCCACCACAACTGCCAAGCCAGGATTGCTTGAGTTCTTGGACTTGAACTCAGGAGTTCAGGATAAGCCCAGAGACCCTGTGTAAGGCCACAACTAGCAGGGAGCTATTTCAAGCTCTATCAAAGGTGTGCGGTAACAGGTGGTTCAAATGAAAACCACCGGCTGAATCCAAATCTGGGAAGCCTGCCGATACCCACTAATGAAAGAGTGGGGCACGGCTATACGTGGTTAACCACCGAGCTTTATCGACAGAGAATTGGTCTGACATGTTTTCCCGAATCGAGACTTTGAATTAACTAGATTAGAGGCGCATCACGGAGACCCCGGCTACTTGCGGCCGCCTGGGCTTATCTCCAGTGGAGGCTCAAGGACTCGGCAACTCTGACAGCTTTTCAATTGACTAAGCAAAGGCTGAACTCCTTTCACTGCTTCTACATGCCAGACCTGCCAACCTGAAGGAATCGGCACTTATCCCTACAAAATAAGAAAAAAAAAAAAAAACACCTGACATCGGGTATAATTACTGCCCAAATTGGCCTGGATCCCTCAGCGGGGGATCAAAAGGGTTCATTTGTTCACA